TTCTTATTTGTTTGCCCCGGCTCTCCAACTCCACACTGTGGAGTGCCATTTTCCCCTTCTGAATTTTTTCTTCACTGCAAGTAAGTTGACTTGTGTTCACGTAACCATCATTCACTATCAGCCAGCACAAGGTCATGGAATAGTGAATCTGGCAAGACAAATTGGCAGGGAAATCTGTTTAGAGCACTGCAGGTTTATAAAAAACATCAATTTTTGGTGCCAGTGTATTGCAACGCATCATAATGGATTGCAAGAGAAAATAACAGGACACACTGCTCAAAAAAATAAAGGGAACACATAATCGTCACACTATAGCACCAAGTCAGTTAAACTTCAGGGATATCAATCTGTCCATTTAGGAAGCACAAGTGATTGCAATTCAGTTTCACCTGCTTTGGTGCAAATGAAAGTGACAACAGGTGCAATGGAGAGGCAAAGCAAAACAATCCTCCAAAAGGAAATGGTTTTGCATGTGGTGGCCACGGACAGTCGGTCTCTCTTTATCCTTCTTGACTGATTCTTCTCTAGTTTTGTGTTCTGCTAGTGTGCTTGTCATTTCTGGTAGTTTGCTGTGTTTCCAAGCACAATCTCAAGAGCATGGAGTAGATAATGGGAGACTGGCTGTTACATGAGGAGACTTCGACAGGGCTGTAGAAGGGCATTAGCCTACAGCAGGACCAGTATCTGCTCCTTGGTGCGAGGAGGAACAGAAGGAGCACTGCCACAGCCCTACAAAATGACCTTCAGCAGGCTACTGGAGTGCATGTTTCTGACCAGAACTGTCAGAAACAGACTCCATGAGGGTGGCATAAGGGGCCTGACTTCCTCTAGAGGGACCTGCGCTCCCAGCCAAGCACCAAACAGATTGGCATTCACCAGAGAACACCAGAATTGGCAGGTCCGCCAATGGCACTCCATTCTCTTCACAAATGAGAGCAGGTTCACACTGAATACGTGTAACAGGCGTGAAAGAGTCTGGAGATGCAGTGGTGAACGTTGTGCTGCCTGTAACATCATCCAGCATGACTGGTTTGGCATTGGGTCAGTGATGGTCTGGGGAGGTATATCCTTGGAGGGTCACACAGACCTCCATGTCATAGCCAACGGTAACCTGACTGCTGTTAGGTACCAGGCTGAAATCCTCCGAGCAATTGTCAGACCTTGCGCTGGTGCAGTGGGCCCTGGGTTCCTCCAGGTGCAGGACAGTGCCTGGCCTCATGTGGCCAGAGTGTGTAGGCAGTTCCTGGATGATAAAGGCATTGATGCCATTGACTGGTCCTCTCGTTCCCCTGACCTACATTCAATTGAGCACCTATGGGACATTATGTATCGTGCATCCGACGCTGCCAAGTACCACCACAGACTGTCCAGGAGCTCATTGATGCCCTGATCCAGGTCTGGGAGGAGATCCCAAGGACACCATCCACCAACTTATCTGGAGCATGCCCAGACATCGTCGGGAGTGCATACAGGTACGCGGGACCATACACACAGAGTCACATTATGAGTTGCTGTGATAAAATTCACACAAGTTGGATCAGCCTGTGATTTCATTGTTTTAACTTTGATTTTCAGTGTGATTTTGAATCCAGCCCTCAGGTTGATGATTTTGGTTTCCACTGACTGTTACGTCATTTTGTTCTCAACAAATTATACAGTGTACATCAGTAAAGATTTTCAGCTTTATTCGTTCATCAAGAACTGAGGAGTGATTTATGTGTTCCCTTAACTTTTTTGAGCAGAGTATATTCCTATATCAGTATTTTGTCCCAGGCCAACTGCATACTTTATTCTATAGTAACAGTGACAAAGAATAGCCCCTTTTACATGACCTGTTTAAGGCAGGAATATCATGCCATTATGCTGCCTCACCATGCTGTATATAAGGTTGATCGCAGGCACAGATTGGTCTCACCTTCAGTCCACCACAGGAGGTAGTAACAGCGCCAAATCTGTGTTTGTAGGAACAGGGCAGCCAGCAGGATGGGACCATGGGCAGGACGGGTGTGACGTTTTCTGACGTGTTATGGATTTGTCCCACGGAGGGAGATTTATAATGGAGCCAATGGCAGTTAGCAACTAACTCAAAGAAGAAGAACGGCAGCCATAAATGTCGGCAAATTGGGAAAATGATAAGGTCTGGGAGCTCTTTTACCCTCCAAGCAGAGGACGAGGTTGGCCACCATATAACAGAGACAGTGAATGATTGTTATTGTCATGTTATACCATTGTTATTGTTTAGGGCTGCTGATGTGTATGTTATATGTCACACAAGAGGCCGACACTGTTGTGTTACATGTCACGCCTGTCATGCCTCTTTCGGTTTTGTGATGGTGGCATGCAGCCTATAATCACACACTGGAATGACATGATGTCATTTGGTTCTGTGTAAAAATGCAAAGGAAGCATGAAGACGGGACTTTATAGTGGCTCTATTATGCAATCTCTGTGCAAAAAGGGCTAGAGTGACAGTTGGCTAACGTGAACGGTCAACATACATCCTGAATCCTGCATTTTTTTTTTAAACTATGATGGTCATGGGTCACATCTCTCACTCTTTCTTCTCTCGTACTAATAGAACTTGAGTTAATGTTCAGCCAGTAATGAACTTTCTTTTCTTTTTCTTTTTGTGCCGCTATGGCACAAGGTTACCAACAGAAATGCTGGATAATTTTGCAGTTTCAGCATAGAGTATTGTGACTTTTTTTTTTCTTTTACAACTTTAGCAATATCTGCTGCCTCATGTTTGGCACACAGCTCCACCCATCTGTGGTACACTATCCCTCGCTGTTGATAGGCTGTTACTCGTACAACCAGTATAACCATTCAGGTGGTACTGTTGCCGAGACATTGAGCGAGACTACACTGTGGTAACTACAGATAGAGAGGCAGCTGAATCGGTCAAAGTGCATTTTTAAGTTAATTTAGTTTATCAGCAATCAGATTTAAGAAAAACAAAACAAAACAATTCCAGTAACCATAAAATACTGAATATTGCAGCCAATATTCAGCCAGGCCAATCATCAGTCAGCTCCTAGACCTGGTGATGATTTGGAGTTACTTAGTTGTTTAGTTGAATGTCATGCTTTTATCTTATTACTGAGTAATGCTAATAACACTACATAATATCTAAATAAATGTGAGCTAAAGTTTACTGAGAAGTTCACTTTTCTCTGACTCACTGGTTTGAACCCTGGAAATAAGGTGTTTAACTCTGTTTATGTAGAAACAAACAAAATTTGTTCAATAGACTACAAATACTGACCTTTAGTCTAATTTACAGAAAATACTCTCAATTTAAATTCATATTCTGGCCTTCAAAGTATATCCCTACAGCCCCTGCAAGGCGGGGGCCACTCTCCCCTGTCAACAACTACTGTGTTGCAATAAGAAAAAAAGATAATTTTTTTTCATAAAAAAATAAAAAATAAAACAAAATTACATAGGGTGCACATCATGAACAAATATTTTTGAAAAAATAAAATCCTTGCTGGTTTATAGTTCTTTTTGTTCTACATCAGAGCCAGTCAGGAAGATTTAGAAGACAAAAGCGACGTTGACAAGGATGAAACAGGCCAACATGGTTGTGAAGACAGTGATTGTCAGAAAGAAGACATTACAGATGAGTCAGACACTGCAGTAGTGAAGGAGAGCTTGGTGTGTTGCTGACACCCTAAAGCCTAGTTCACATTACAAGATTTTCACCGTGATTTTGATGTCGCAGAGGATCTTGAGAGCCACCTTGGGTCGGAGGTGTGTCGGCAGATAGTCTGCCACGACAAGTCCTCATGTGTGATCAAGCCTATGAGCAAGTCGCCCCCTCGTCTGTGACTGGGACTGGATATCTGTCATGCTAGAAAACTGGAGAAGTGTGGCCCGACTGACAAAGAGCATCAGCCAATGAGAGGTGGGATATGTCCCACGTAGGCATGCAGGAGGACGGAAGAAATGTGAGGACGACAGGCCGCAGGGTTGCCACTTGCCAGGTTCACTTATTAGCCGCGACTTTGGGCTTGTTTCTAAAGTGGAGTTCCTTATTTGGGCTTGCTCTCGTCATCTTTCTCTATACATATCCATCTAATAAGTTATTTAAATGCATGATAGTCGCTTCTTTTGGGCTTGTTTCCATGGCCCTGGTTGCTTGTTTCTCTCCCAAGATCTGGCAACACTAACAAGCCGGCAAGCAACAACAACAACAGTGGTGGTGTCCACAGGATCACGGGGAGTGCGTAGTGTTTGGACCCAGGCCCTGGAGGCAGATCTGATTCAGCACTGAGAAGAATATCCATGCCTTTACGATGGGTCGTCTCCAATTTTGGTGATGTCACCGCATTATCTAGGGCTCTGTCGGTGCGGACTCGGTGGAGAAATCTAGTGGTGTGCACACACAGGTCATAACACAGTTGGCGAGACTCCCGCTGACAGAAACACACATTGCCAGGTATGAACACTCAAAAGATTGCGATAGTCTCCACGACGCAAAATCAGTTTTAAAATCATGTAATGTGAACTAGGCTTAACCTGACATGACATGACACTTTATAGTTTGTGATGTTAAAAAGCTCCAACAGTTTTAAAAGTAGCCACTCAGTAATTAACTCCATTATCTGTGTCCAGTGTTTTAAAGTGGTCTGTTTAATTAGGTTGTGTGTCCGAAATGGTAAGTATCCTTTTAACAAAAAAGATGTTAAAATTGGCCTGCTCTATGCTGCAGGAAAGGGGCACACTCAGAGTTAGCTGCAGGGGGGCCTCACATGTTTGCATTACGGTGCTGTTTATATTGATCAGGAAAAAATTGTAATTACACCCCCCTACTTCTAATTTCTTCTACCGTTCGATTTGTTCTCTTAATAATGTTGTTAGTGCTTTTATTCACATGTATGGAATTTTACAGAAATGTGTAGTTCATGTCTGAAAGCGGCATTTGTTTCTGCTTCATTATTTAAAGCTCAGATGAGCTGCATTTATTCTGCTGATCAGCTCTTCTTCTCTGTTTTCAGGATGGCTGAAGGATAAAATCCAAGACGTCACATTCCCTCAACCCAAACTGACCCCACTTTCCCCTTTTTTTACTTTCAGCCTCCCCTTGTTTGACTCTTTGTTTCCTATCTCAGCTCATTTCCCTGTCTATATGGGATTTCATGGAATGCATGCATTCCATAGTAAGAACATGTAAATTAATTTGAAATTAGACAATCCTCTCCTGACACCCTCCTGAGCAAATGACAGGATGCCCCTCAAATTTGAAAAAATTACAGTGTGATCGGTATCGACCTTCTGCCCATCTGAGATTGCCACCTCAGTCTGTCGGATTCTCACTCTGGTTCCATCACTTGTTCCCTATCTGCAGCCTTTTCCACAACCCAATCTCTTTTCTAGTGTCATTGGGCCATGGTTCGCAAGAAAGGTTCCCTTATACTATGTGGTGCTTTCCTGTTTGTCGCCTGGAATGCTTTGCTTCTTCTTTATCTTTGGGGTCGTCCTCCCATCGGCCGTCTCGGAGAAGGTGGTGGAGCTGAACCAGGAGGAAAGGAGGAGTGGGACGTGGGCAGAGGGAAAGGAGACCAGGTCAACCTGGCTGGGGAGGTGATTCGACTGGCAGAGGAGGTTGAAATTCAGCTTGAAACCCAGAAAAAGCTGCTGAAGCAGATTGAAAGTCACAGGGCAGTGTGGGCTCAGCAGAAAGATGTCGGGAAAAGAGAAACAGAGGATACAAAAGAAGTCAAACAAGAGGTTGTCCACCAGCCGCAGAAGCCTCCACTTTCTCTTGGGGACAGTGTGCATGATAGGCACCAAACTCACGTGAAGCATACACAGAAGCCTGTTCATACAGTACCTACAGGCTCTAAGGTAGAACAGCACCAGGCCATTGAAATAAAGGAAGGGATTGGTGAGAACCATAAACTGGCCACTTCTGTTGCCAGCCCAGAGGTCATTATTCCCATATTAGTTATTGCTTGTGACAGAGTGACGGTAAAACGCAGCCTCGACAGACTGATACAGTACCGCCCCTCTCCAGAACTATATCCAATCATTGTCAGCCAGGACTGTGGCCACGCTGAGACAGCTCGTGTGATTGGCTCATATGGAGATCAAGTGACGCACATAAGCCAACCGGACCTGTCAGACATCAGAGTTCGGCCAGAGCACAGAAAATTCCAGGGCTACTACAAAATATCCAGACATTACCAGTGGGCACTTAACCAAGTGTTCAACACGTTCTCCCAGTCCACTGTGGTCATAGTGGAGGATGACTTGGAGGTGAGTGCTGCCAGAATTTCGCCTCATTCTTATCACATTACCATGCATGACTGTAGGCATCGTCCTCCTTAATAGCTCACTTTTTTGTGGCATATTTCTTTTATTGGATAGCTTGACACTAAGGACACAGCAGAGGTCTATATAATTTGTCCAGTGGTTGATACAGGCATTGATGAATGATCCGACACACTGACCTCAGCAGTGCCGTTTCACTGCCAGCCATTCTCAAGTGTAGTAGAGAGAAGTCAAGGAAGATGAAATTTTATTAAAGAGGCATATGGCTAGCAGCAAGCAGTTGGGAGAAGGTTTTCTAGAGGGTTTTCTACCAGAAAGAGATTTTTTAATTAAGGTGTGGAAAAAAAGTCATGGTTTGGGTCAAAATGAATAGATTCCTGTCAGAGAGGGCTTTCTTGGAGAAAGCCTATGAGGAAAAATTCTCCCATGTGCTAACAGTGATAACAAGCACTTGAGGTCTTGGTACACATCAAAAGACGGAAAGAATGATTTGGGCTGCAGTTGTCTGTCACCTTTTTCATCCCGCTTCAGAGATGTCAGTATCAGTGAGGTGCCTGAAATGAGCCCGAAGGGTATTTAAAGACAATACCCACCCCAGCAACAGCGTGTTTACCCTGCTGCTGTATGGCAGGGAAAACAGACCTTTTCTCAACTCATCCACTGTACTCCACCCTAAGAAATTATTTTGATTTACGTTCTTCTTGTGGAGTGATGAGGTTAGAACATTCATTTGTCATGCTACAGCCAGGGGCGTCACTAGACTTAAGACTGTACTGGGGCACAGAGAGTTTTTTAGCACTTATTTATAATAAAAAAAGCTTAAATAGTGCTTTAAACTATACAATCAGATCAGATTATGTTGTTGACTGGATCTTTGATTAACCACCTGAATGAACTAATGCATTTGGCCTACTTGTGCACTTGCAAAATCGAATTTGGGGCGACAAAACCAGATAGTTTTAGCCATTTTTCTGGTGACAAAACAATATAAAAAGCATGATGGTGGGACATTCTGTCACTTCACAGTTGTCCAAAACATGTGGTTTGTGCCAGGCGGACATGATTGCCAGTATTTTTTCATTATTGCAAGAAATTCCATTGACTCATTTACAAGTCAAAAATGTGTTTTATCTGAAAGAAACATGCAATGTTTACATCTAAGATAATAGAAAATAGTCAACCAAGTGCAATGATGTCCTCCAAGATAATATTTGTTTTTCAGTTTCAGTTATATACTGGGGGGACATTTTGGGCATTGGGGGGGACACATGTCCCCGTCGATGTATAAGGTGACTACGGCCCTGTCATGCATGCATAATTAGGCTGCAGTTGTCTGGGTGTGCAAAGGTAAAGTGGCTGGTCTTGAAAGCTGGACTACAAATGTGGATAGACAGGGAGAAACACATGTAAGCCTAAGACGTGGTAAGATACGATATTCCTCACTATATGAAGTGACTGATAACAAGATCTGTATAATGGATTGTAAAGAAATTCGTCAGGTTTTTATTTTGTAGACAATTAATCTGGATTTATAGCGTGATGGGATGACAGCACAATGATGTGTGTGGTATCACAAGAAAGCTCTGCTCCTGTGCTTTCATGTGATATGTGTGGCATTTCTGTGCGACCCTGCATTCGCGAGTAATCCATCCAAGAGTAATGTGTGTGCAAAGCTGTATGAAAGCTCTGTTATACATAATTTTAGTGTAAATTTATCTCTTTTTTTTTTGCTGTGAAAACACTGGACTACCGACAAGTGCTCGCTCTTGTCGGAAAGCTACAATTCTGCTGTTTCACGTGATATGCGTGGCTTCTCGCTATGACGCACAGTCACGGAGAAAATCCATAGGGAAGAATGGGTGTGAATTTGAACGCACTATGCGTCGTTCGGGCCCGTAGCCATGTGCGCACTGTGTACGAGGAGTGAATGGAGTAGCACATGAATGAATTACCATATTAAGTAGCCATGTCCGCACTGTGTATGCTATGTGGAGTTAAAACTCCGAAGTGAATTTTTTACTGGTGAAATGTTTACTGGGGCACTGCAGATCAATACTGGGGCACGTGCCCCAGTAAAATCTGTCTGGCAACGCCGATGGCTACAGCACATGGCTGCACAACAAAATGTGAGTTGTAGTCCCTTTAGCAGAAATTAACACTGGTGCTAAGTGCCATTTGTCTGTAGGCCAACGTGGAAGTTAGCCTGCAGTGGTTTCCTCATCAAAAAGCCAATGGGATTTTTCCACTAGATTTTGGATCATTGTAGAAAATAAGCTCTGTGGCAAACAAGCAAAAATGCAGTCGCCATTAGTTAAAAGCTTACGTTAGGCCATAAACAAACAACACCACGGTCGCATGACTTAAAGTCACCACCACAATGAGGCTGTAAAGCTGTGGCCGGTGTGATGATGTTCTGTAGTCTATTTTAGCCACTTATTAGCAATCGTCATTTTTAAGACACAAAAAAGCTTAAGAATTCACATTGGGGTACTGACAAGTATTTTATGTCTGAGAAAAAAAACCTATAAGTCTCTTCAGCCTGTGTTAGCACAGACCTTATTTCAGACATCTAATCAAAAACCAATTGACTTCTAGATGAGGGAGCGCAGAGAGCTAACACAGTAATTCTGGGTTTTAGGACTCACTCCAGTGTCACTTTATGTGGGTATCTTTGAAGGCTATCTGTTACACTGGCAGGTAAATGTTTATAACAAAATAGTCCTGTAAGAAAAAAACTATGGTGACAGTCTCTTCCGTTGATGGTGTCATTTAAGGGCGCACTGCTCTGCACCTAAGCTGCTCTCAAGCTGTCTATGTCACACACACACACACACACACACACACACACACACACGTGCACCTAACTGTGCAGCAGCTGACCACCTCAAGTGCTGTAGTTTTGGCACTTTTGGCACTGTTTACCATATGGGACATCAACTGATCTGCATAACTGTCACTGCTGCTAGCTAGTGTTGCGCCCATACTTATGAAGATCATAAAATAATTACTTGGAGGCTCCTTAGTTTAAACGAAGACGGTTAACTCCTTATCGCCTACCGCATTGTCAGCAGCAGAGCATTAGCTTCATTTCTTGTATTCTTACCTTTAACAATAAAAGTTGTAGACATACAATACACAAAAATGGAGGCCATACGAGATAGTGACTTTAAGTTGTGATCCATGTGATTGTAATTAGGGTGGATAGGACAAAAGAGACCAAAACAAAATATGAAGCAAAATGATTTTAATATATTGAACAACTCATCACCACAGCCTCAGCATGTGAATAAGTTCCCTCTGGTAAGCAGTGATTAAGTGTATACACCGATCAGCCAAAACATTAAAACCAGTGGTGGGTGAAGTGAGTGACATTGATCATTTTGTTACAATGCAATGCTCCGCTAGGAACATAATCCTCCTGTGCAAAATGAGCGCTGCACACGACTGCGTTTTTGGTCACAGGTGAAGCCGTGAAATCGCGCCTCTTCACCTGCACAAAACGCACCCAGGCACGAAAACTAACTCCACTCCTTTTTCTGTCTGGAAAATGGTGGACTCCATGTCCTGACAGACTCGAGTTTGTGCAACCTGCACAAACACAATAATTCGGCATAATCACAAATGGTGAAATGCACTGTTAACAACCGAAAAAATACTAAGTCACAAGTTTACTACTGCTCAGACTCACTACCTACTACTGCGCATTGGACAGAGGCAGGGTCATGGACGCAGAGTCCCTCTCGTGACGTAGTATCAGGCAATGTTGGGAAAAAAAAGCGTTTTTAGAAGAGGAGCTAAAAAGAGCCACTTTTTCCTCTGAATTTGTGCCCTTATGTCGTGTAAACCATAATAAATTCTGAATTAACTTCTCATATGGTAATTTTTAGACAAGGTTATGTATATATTTTAAAAAAAAAAAATTAACCTGCAAGTTGCACTTTAAACCGATTAACCATTGCTAAATGTATTAAAATAATTTTGCTTTCAACTTTTCTCTGGCCTCTTCTATAAGTTTGTTTTCAACATAATCAACATAATCTCTCTAACTATATAATGACACTGTCTGTGTGTGTGGGTGTGTCTGTGTGTCTGTTCCACGTTTTTCTCCTTACTGACTTGGTCAATCAATATGAAATTTAGCACAGTGGTATAGGGTCATGGGAGGATGCAATATTACATCAATTGGCCAATGGGGGGCACTATAGCAACTGATTGAAATTGCAAACTTTAACTCTAATTGGCAAGTGGGTGGTGCTATAACAACAGAAAAATGCTTAAAAATGGCTAAAATGGGACCGATCGCTGTGGCTCCCTATTTCGCACTCTCCCGCGACCTGACTATTTATTTCTTTTAAAAAGCCAAAGAAAGACAAGCCGGCTACCAACGCTGACCGGATTAGCATGCATGGTCTGGCTAGCCTGCTGGAGGAACACCGCCAGTCTATATCGTCAGCCCTCTCCACCAAGTTTAAACTGGCGTCCAGTTTAATCCACCCTAACGGAGGGGATGGGATGGGGATGATTCATTTCCCAGTCTCACCCTCTGTCATAAAGGGCAATTGGGCGAAGGGACTGCCTCATCTGTTCAAGTTTTTGTTAAAATGCAGGGTTCCCGCGGATCCTTAAAAAGTCTTAAAAGGCATTGAATTCATTAATCTAAAAAGGCCTTAATTGGCATTAAAATGTCTTAAATCAATCTTTCAAAAGTCTTAAAAATGTTAACACGTGGTAAGTAGGATTTTAGGATTGTAATTAGTCTAAACTATTATACTAAAAATAATAGGTAACATTTATTTTTTAAAAATAATTTGCCGAATAGCAGTAACGTCACGCAATCACGAGAGCGGAACCAACAAAACAGTGATGTGTTTGCAGCCGTGTCTCTCAGAGCAGATGCACGTCGTTCATGTAGCAGTCGGACCACATGGGAAAGTGTAAATTTTTTATTTTTTTTTTAAGATATTTTTTTGGGCATTTTTAGCCTT